AGAAAGCTAGCCAAAAGTTTCTAAAAACCACAACTAACCATAGTTGTGTTAGTTCTACTCCAAACAAACCTTCTTCTGGCAAACTGTCCACTTCCTAGTCACCCCACTTCTTTTACTAGCACCCCCTGACGCCGACAGCTGTCCTTCTGATTCAAGGACAGCCAGCCACATGTCTCGATCAAAAGGGCACCTTCTGCCACCGGCTGCACTGGGTCACACCAAAATTCACGTGGAATGCTTAACCTCCTGTGCTTTAGAATGTGACTGTATTTGGAGGTAGGGTCCTTTTCTTTTTTTTTTTTAAGATATTTATTTATTTATTTTTAGAGATGGGGAAGGGAGGGAGAAAGAGAAGGAGAGAAACATCAGTGTGTGTGAGAGATGTGGGTCTGTGACCTCTTGTACGCCTCCATCCAGGACCCTGGTCCATAGCCTGTGCCCTGTCTGGGAATTGAACCAGCAACCTTCCAGTTCACAGGACGGCATTCAGTCCACTGAGCCACACCAGGCAGGGCTAGAAGTAGGGTCTTTAAAAAGGAATTAAGTTAAAATGAGGACATGTTGGTGGGTGCTAATTCAATGAAAGTGGAGTCCTTATAAAGACAGTAGGACACAGTCACACAGAGGAAAGATCACATGAGGACACACCAAGAAGGTAGCCATCTGCCCTGGCTGGTGTGGCTCAGTGGACTGAATAAATATCTTATTCCTGGGAATCGAAGAATCAGCGGTTCGATTCCCAGTCAGGGCACATGCCTGGGTTGCAGGCCAGGTCCCCATTTGGGAGCGTGCAAGAAGAAACTGATTGATGTATCTCTCGCACATCAGTGTTTCCCTCCCTCTTTTTCTTTCTCCCTTCTCCTCTCTCTAAAAATAAAATGTAAAAACCTTAATAAAAAAGAAGGCAGCTATCCACAGTCAAGGAGAATGATCTCAGAACAAACAAACCCCACTGACACCTTGATCTCACCCTTCCAGCATCGAGAATCATGAGAATATAAGTGTGTGGTGTCTAAGCCGCCCAGTGTGTGCTATTTTGTCACAGCGGCCCCAGCAGACTGATACTCCTGTTTAGGGGCCCCAGACCACACACGTGACCTTCCTCAAAAGAGGTGGGGGACAGGCAGGCTTTGAGAGCTACCGTAAGCGACAATCTTACACGACACCCTTCTCTGACCCCAGGTCGGGTGTCAGCATGGCATGGACTTTGAGTCCTTTTCCAGCACCACGGGGTAGGTCCTGCTCAGCTGTCTGTCCTCTCTTGTCTGGGCCCGGTGATCTTGGGGAAATATTTTTGAAGTCTGGAGATGGTAACATCTGTAGGTGTTAGTTTCTCTCATGGAACTAAAACTCGGTAAGCACACGCTCAGTTTGATTTTTTTAGACCCACCCCCCACCCCCCGCTTCTCAATGATCTTCTTTTGATTATATAAATACCTTGCAATCACAAGAACATTTTTGGAAATCCAGACTTACTACTATTTTGCCATATTTTCTTCTAGCCTTTTAAATAGTATATTCACATAACACTTCAATCAATTAAAATCCAAAACAATATTTTAACTCCTCCATATGTTTTTATTAATAATTTTACTGTTTGCTTTCTCTTCATCTAATATGGTATTGGCTGTCTTATTGAAACTTTCGTAGCCCTGGCTGGGTGGCTCAGTTGGGTGGCATGTCATCCCATACACCAAAAGGTTGCAGGTTTGATTCCTGGTCAGGGCACATGCCTGGCTTGTGGGTTTGATCTCCAGTCAGGGTGTCTGCGGAGGTAACCAATCGATGTTTCTTGCTCACATCAATGTGTGTCTCTCTCACCCTTCCTTTCTTTCTAAAATCAATACTAATATATCCTTGGGTGAGGATTAAAAACTGTATAAAAAACTTTTGTAAACATTCTACTACTTGAAAGTACACATTTTGTTTAAGCTTTCCCTCACCGATGACTCTGGACTGGACTTGCATGTACCTCTGCCCAGCTGGTCCACCTCACACTCCAGCCGCCATTACCCACAATGCACCTGGACATGGACTCGGGAACTTCCCAGTGCGCTGCCATCCCTTGTCGGGTTTGGTGTTGATCTGGAGGTTCACTGGGGTGGAGAAGGTGGTGGCGGCTGCTTCTGGGTTAATCTCCGTTTCTCCGTGCTTGGTGCTCTTTCTCTCTCCTTTGTGTCTCTTTTCCTTCCTACCACACTTGTCACCTCAATTCTTAGCTTATTGTCTTTCTTCTCTGCCCTAGAAAGGGAGTATTTCTTGCTAAGGAAAGAAGTCTGGTGCCAACAGGAAAAGGCAGATGCCATGACAGGAAGTGGCCTAAGAGAGGATAAGCTAGGGGTGCAGTCCAGGGAATGCAGGAAAGACAGATCACCTGGGCACTTTTAGGACCAACAATGGCCAAAGGTTAGTGGCATCTTAATTATCATAGTGACAGCAAATTATTGCACTATCACCATCATCATCATCATCATCTTCACTCTGTAGCCCTTTGGAGAATCTCTTTTTCTTACATAATCTTTCACAGCTGTAACTATTCCTAGATTCTAATAGCTTAGACTTTCCAGCGATGTTCATTTAACACAAAGGCATTGTTTGCATTCTGTATTCAAGTTTTCACTTTGATACAACCTGACCTTTCCTCTGTGTGGGGGGGACTGACAAGAGAACTAATGGGGTGCATCCGCTCGCTGTATATCATTCCAATAACTTTCCGTTTCTGAGCTCATTTATTTATTTAGAACAAAAACCTAAGGCCCTCTCTTCTTCCTAAGTCTGACTTCTCTCTGCGTTGAAGCCCTTCCCAATTTTGTAGAACCTAGAGCAGGTTTTCCAGACACAGGTTCACCCAGTGGCTGGGTGGCTTGAACAGTTGGTCGCATCTGCCCCAGCAGAGTGTTCACCCAGTCGGAAGCAGGCAGCAGCCCATCGGCTACTGCGGCACGTGGCCGGGAGAGAAATGAGCTGCATCTGTGTGATTTTCCACAGAAGCAATTCAGAATTTTTCTCTGAAGTCTCTCATTTTTTAAATCTTAGAAACTCATTAAAAAATTTCTAAACACTGTGCAAGGTAAATAAACATATCTGCAGACCACTGGCTGGCAACCTCTCACTCAAGGCGTATTTATTTTCCACTCACGGAATCCTTTTCCCCTTTTTGTCCAAGTTGATGTTCCAATCACACAGCCCAGGCCGAGCTGCCCAGAAGGCGTCTTCACCCTGGGGCAAAGCCTCCCACCCTCCTTCCCAGAGGAAGTAAAGAGGTTGCCTGCCCTTTCCTCCCAGTTCAGGAAATGCACTGCCAACTGAGAAATGAAATTGTGCCAAGGCAGTTTGGTAGGGAATTATAAAAATCCTCCTTACAGGAGGGTATTATACACGAAGTGTTTAGGTCAAACAGTAACTCCCCTGATAAAAGTAAATAATCTCCCAAATCTATTCAAGGAGAATTTGCTAGCAAGGGTTACAACAGAAGAAATAATTAAGACAGAATGTTTGTAACTTTTATATTGGAGGAGAAGAAATGGAGTTAGCTTTCTTAGGAATTGCAAGTGAAAAAAAAGATGTGACGCATCACATCAAAACAAACACTCATTTTAAGAAACACTATTTTTGCCCTGGCTGGTGGGGCTCAGTGGATTGAGCATGGGCCTGGGAACCAAACAACTGTGGTTTGATACCCAGTCAGGGCACATGCCTGGGTTGCAGGGGACACATGAGAGGCAACCATACATTGATATTCCTCTCCCTCTCTCCTTCCCTTCCCCTCTAAAAGATAAATAAAATCTTAAACAACAACAACACTATTTTCTACCCTTTGTTAAAGGAGTGAAAATATACCCCAAAATAGCCAGACGATTGTTTTAGGGTTGTACTTTAAGTTTGAAAATCTCCAGTTTTTCTTATTAATGTAGTAGATCTAGCGGCCAAATTCCAGCATGTAATTTTTGTATTAAGAATATACAATTCATTCTCTTTTTGACGTTCTGCTATTGACAATCCTGCAGTTTATTTGTGGAAAGAATACTTGTGTTTTTATTTTATTCGTAGTATTAATGGACAGGAAAAGGATGACACTTTTGAAATAAGAGAAGATACTACTTTTCTAATATCCCCAATGCTGGCAAAGAGCTTCTAACACTGTTAGGTTGCTAATTGGCGAAAACAGAGAACAACCACTCCCTTTGGAAAATTAGCTGGCAATTAGAAATTAGCTACAATAAAACATGTACGAGGTCTTTTGTTGTTTTGTTAGATTTTAATCTTTATTGAAAAGGCTTGGCATCTGGTCCAACCTTTTACGATAATGCTATGTTATAGAGTAATAAAAGTGGTACCTCTGCAAGTATTACAATGCTACTGCTAATGGATGGGTAAGCTCATGACTGTTAAGCTTATGAATTTAAAGGACATTTTTACTTTTTAAAAGTTTTATCTAGAGTTTTCTTTCTTGATAACCATGTCTCTTAGAAATGGAAAAATATTTACATCTGTACATTCTGTACATAGATGGTACAGTATATTATTTTCTTCCCAGCCGGTAGCTAAAATGCATACAAAGACTGGATTTTAAAACGAAGTCAAATTATTTTTTGAGGAAATATGCATTTGGTAAAGTAATAAAAGTATGAGTACAATGCTTTGCATATAAACACATGCAAATGTTTGAGCAAGATGCAATGCTTGCGTGTTAAATAAGTGTTATTGGAATCAAAATGAAATGTTTCATCTCACCGTACATGAAACACTCCAAATAATTACCGTGAAAAATGTAAGTTTAGCGTTCAAATTTTAGCGTTTTCAATTTACATCTTATCCTTAGATTTTATACAATTTGGGAGAAGAATAGTTAGTCGTTGTTACAATGTATTATTACCTTGTTGGAGGGGAATTAATGTAATTTGTGCGGCCAAGTAGTAAAAATTAAAACCCTGTATTTACTGCCCATTTATTGCAAAAGTCCTATGCAAATTTGCATAAGGAAACGAACAGAATGGACATAAGAGCATAATCGTCGCTTAATTGGAGACGGTTCGTCAACATCCATTTTGAGGACGGACAGCCACCAAAGAGCAATGCGTGTGGCCCCAGCGGAAGAATTTCCCCGGCTTCGACGGCCAGGATGACGTCGGGGCCAGCCCGGGACCGGGGACCTGGGCTCACGCCGCCTTCTCCCAGCGGCTTTTATTTCATTTCACTCTTCGGGAAACAGAGAGAGAACTCCGCGCGCGACCTAAGCACGGACACATAGAGGAACTACACGAAGGACGCTCTGCTACCCGCCATACCGAGACCCAGAACGTGGTCCCCCCGAGCCAGCCCGCCGCCGGGAGAGAAGCTGGGTCCCCGCCACGGCGAGAACAGGTGACGGGGAGGCTGGCAAGCTCTACCCCTCGGTCAACACGGATTCCTCCGCCTCCCGCGGGTCCTTCCGCGCCAAGTAGTGCGTCGCCGGCCGGCTTCCGCAAACGCCGGCCGCGGGGACCGGCCCTGACGATAGAGCGGCGAGCGGGCAGCCCCAATGTGGGGAGTCCCCTGCTGTGAGGTGCCGCTAGGGAAGGCGTGTTTTCATCTGCGCAGCCGCAGTGGGCCTGGCGGCCTGGGGGGAGATCGTGGGGGCCGACCCCCCGGGAGCAGGGAGAGCACGAGCGGGTGGCCGCGGCGCGGAGGCGTGCAGCCCACAGGGCGGGGGAGGCAGGTGTCCCGGACACCACCCCGCCCCGCCCCCAGTGCCGGCAGGAACAGGAAGCAACCCGGCCAGGCCTCGCGGGGTGGGGGAGCCCTGGCCCGCGGAGGCGCGTGACCTACTTCGTTCCAAAGTGGATTTGACAGGTTGACAGCCCGGCTCCCTGCCCCCACTGTTTTCCGGGTTCCCCTCCCGGGTCTGGGGCCCGAGGGTCGCCAGCTCTTCCGGTTTCGGCCTCCTATTGGCCTGCTTTCTGCCAGGCGGTCCGTCCCGCCTCCATCTCGGCCTCCCATTGGTCGTTCTTGCCGCCTACTCACCCTTCCATTGGTCCAGAGGTGCCTGGCGCCCGCTACGTCCTCCCATTGGCCCGACGCCCCGCCCCGCCCCCATAGGCCCTCTGGGGGAGCCGAGCTCTGCTGGTCGCTACGCTCCAGGTTCCTGCGGGTGTCCTCAGCTGCCGGCCTCCCTGGTCCTCCTCATCCAGCTCCTGTCCCTCGCTTTGCTCCACTCCCAGTATTTACCGTCTCCCCCACGTCTCTTTCCTTGCTCTGCGTTCGGGGAGCCTGAGGCCTGAGCCTGGCTGCACCCCGCGCTGCTCTGCGCCGCCTGCCCTTCGGGCCCCGTGTCCAACGCTGCCCACTCTCGCTTCCAGCCCCTTTTCTCTCTTTTGCGTCACTTCGCATTTTCCTTTCTTCCCTGGAGTAAGAGGCAGCGAAGACCTCCGGGTTTCCTCCCGGTGCCCCATCTTCTGGGGCCTTCTCTCGTCCCCCTTTCCCCGCCCACCCCGCAGTTCCTCCCTCCCTGAGCTCAACCCAGGGGAACAGACTTCCCAGCTAGCGCGGGAGACAAGGGATATGAAAACTATCAATGTTGAGGTGGCTATAGCTTTGGGGGTTTTGAAATGAAAATTAACTGGAACGCCCGGATCAACCCAGACCTCGGATCAAGATTGAGGTTTTAAAGGACCAAGTGAGAACGTTAATGACAAACTTGATTATCCCTGCAACAGTGATCATTTTTTCCTGGGGCGTCTACTCGAGTGGATGCTGTATTGTTCTTCGAACAATTAGTTTAAGGGTTGTACATATGAGTATGTTTAAGTCGTGCTAGTTTTGTAAGTGGCTGCTTTTGACTGTAAGGATAAACTGACTGATGAGGTTCGAGAGCTTATCCCCTCACAAATGTTCCAAAAAAAAACACCAAACCCGAAAACCCCTTGATTATTCAAATGAGGAGACTCAAGTAGATTTCTCAAGGTCATTAGAGTGAGAGATCTCAAACATAAACCCAGGTCAGCCTCTACGGGGGTCTGCCAGAAGGATCCATCATGGCTTATGCATACACATGCAGAAGAATAGCGGATGGGTAGCTGGTAGTAGGAGTGTTCCCGCCCACCACAGAGTCCTTACACATCCCCCACCTGGGCCTCCAAGGTCCTGCCTTCTAGGGCCCCCCAGGCCTCTCCAGACTCTGCTCACTGCCCTCCAGGTACATGAACGTCTTCCTGCCAAGCACATTTGCACGGGGCCTTTGCGTCTCTGCTGTTGCCTGGCCTGTCCGGATCAGCTTTCCTTCAGCCCTTTCCTGTGGCTGAGCTCCTCTGTCCCCGCAGGGAGGCATTGCTGACGCCTTATGGGAAGGAGGACCCCTCCCGCCAGATCCGGTTGCCCTGTTATTTCCTTCAGAGCACAGGGTGCAGTCTGAAGAATTCGTCGTGTTTATTTATTTGGGGTGTTGTTCCCGTCATGCCCCTTCCTCCATTAGCTGGTGAGAGCACCTTAGCTGTGTGCCCACACACCGTCTGGCCGGCTGGCTTGAAAGGCCCAGGAGGGCCCACCACTGACTTTCAGGTCTGATCCTGCGGATGTGAGGTAGATACACCTACAAGTAAGAGGTGGAAACGAACCTGTTCTCTTTGTCAGTGTTTTGTGCTTCTTTGATTCGTGTGCTTTCTTTCTGCCTGTTGTGTGACCAGCAGAGTGAGGGAAGAAGCTTGCTGCCCCAAGGCTGCCTCCCGCCCCCGCCCCCCCGCCCCCCCCCCCCCCCCCCCGCCTCTTTTCCAGATGCTCCCAGCTCGCCTTGCCCTCGCCCTGACCTCAGGTGGGCAGATACCTGGCAGGGAGTGCCTTCTTCCTCCAGGGCAGTCTTAGAGGGCGTGGCCCTCTGAGGGCTAGGGTGGGGGGAGGGAAGGATTTCTGGCTCTGTGTCACCATCACGCTCGGCTGGGTCCCTGTCACTGGGCGCTACCTTAGGGAGGAAAGCAGAAGAGAAGGAAGGCCCTTCTCGGTTCCCCTTCCTCCTTCTGGGGTCCTGTCCAGCAGCTGGGTCCGTCTCATCTTTCTCAGGAGCCCTTGCACAGGGAAGCACTCTGCCTGCTGAGACCAGGAGGCCCGAGCCAGTTGCTGGAAAGTTGAAATCTATCTAGTCTTAACCGCCCCAAACAGGCACCTCACCTGGCTGGGTCTGGTACCCCTCTGGGTCTCAGTTACATCATCTGCCTTGGCCTGGGTTGTTTACTCATAGTTTCAGGGATATGGACAGCTATCAGCCCACACACGAGTGCTGTGGCTTTCCCTCGGGGCCACAGCGAGGCGCCAGGAGCAGGAAAGCCAGAGATCCCTCATCTGCGTCCAGTTGGACGGAGTTAACTTCTAGTCCTGCGGTCTGGGCCAGAACCTTCCCGTTCACCCTGGTTGGGCCCTCCCGGCTTTGTAAGTGTTTGTAACCCCCCAGACCAGGGATTGGCCAGGAGAATCAAAAGTGTTGATCAGGTTAAACCAATCAGGGCAGGTCCTTAGACCAGACACTGGGGTGATTACAGGTAAGCGTGTGGAACTGAAATCTAAATACTTTCAGGAGAGGTGTGTGTGTGGGTGGGCGTGGGGGACGGACACTGAGTCGGTATTCAACAGGGCCCCTGCAGGTACTTAGCACAGCACATGGCGTGCCAGGACCGCTGGTTAATGCCGGCACAGACAACTCGGCATGGGAGAATTAGCCTGCCACCCAAAGACTTTCAGCACAGGCCCGTCATCTAGCTTCATGAGTTCAGGTAGTCTACAGAGGTTGCACCATTTCAGGGGTGGAAGCGGACTTGGCAGTCAAAGCGCTGAAGCCGTCACTGTTTGGGCTTCAAAGCCCACACTCACAGAGATGAGTCTGGGTCTCACCTTCCTCCTCTGGGGTGTGGGGCTGATGGCACGGGTCCCGCCTGCATGCATCTTTATTCCGTGGGTCAAGCGAGGCAATGGTTCTAGGAAGGGCTTGGGAAAGTAAATAAAACGCTATTTTTGGGCAAGCCTTTTGTTGTTGTTGTTGCTGATGTAGTAATACTGCCTTAGTAAGTGGAGAAAGGGAGAGGTTGTTCAAAGGATAAGCTTACTTGACTTCTAGAAATGAATAACACTCCAGAACCAGCCAAGAGTGTGTGCGCTGGTGTTTGCGCACAGGCTGTCTTCTCAGGCCAGGTCCGGGAGGCGTGAGGCTGCAGTGCAAGTGTGGCGCTCCTGCCTTTAGGGAGAGGCATGGGGAGTGGCTCTCGTGGCGAGAGGTGGGGCTCTAAACCAGGTCATCTCACCCCGAGTCCCTCCCGGGGGAGGACAGGTCTAGTGTGGGGGAGCAGCAGCCCGCCTCAGAGCAGTCTCCTGTTCATGGCTCGCCCTCCCGGGCCCGTGCGAGTCCTCTGCAGAGCGGTTGGACAGGCAGGGTTGTCATGCGACAGATGTGTAGGAGGAAATATCTGTGAGGGAAGAAAGAGGAGACAGTTGGCGGCAGCAGCAGGGAGGGCCGACCCCTGGGAAGGGGAGGTGGAGTGGGCAGAGTGGGCAAAAAAGGTCTGCAGCTCGGGGAGCCGGCGTTGGTAGAGCTGATGGGTGTGCTGGAGCTCTAGCGCCCTTCTGAGGAGTGCGGTGCAGAAGGCGGGTGCTCAGTTGAGTGCATCCCCTGTGGAGCAGGGGATGCGAGTGGGGTATTTTCACAGTCTCACACCATTTCATGAGGTTTCCAGTGGCTTCACGCAGTCATGCATTCAGTTGGCTGTTAACTACCATGTGTCCTGTGTCCATCACGGTAGCAAAGGGGACCGCTGTCTCTCCCTTCCATGGCATTTATTCGTTTTTAAATGGCAAATCTGCCTCATCAAGTGAGTGTCCTTGCTTGGTGATCAGGCTGAATTCTGGAACCCAGGTAGTTCCTAACACTGGGGTGACAGTACATGTTCCAACTGCAGGGACCAGTCCCCTGTGCCCCTCTGTGGTTTGAGTGAGGTACAGATACATGTGATTCCAGCACTTACCACCTCTCACAGAATGAGAGGAAAGTGTTAACCGTTACACTTCTAGAAGCCTACTAGTTGGTTAAGTCTGAAATAGAGTATATGAGGGCTCGCTAGAGAGAAGAAGAGGAAAAATATTTTATAAAAGTAAAAAGCTGAAGAGATCAGAAGAGAGGGAAAGGCATGAAAGAAGAGAAATTTTTTTAAATTTTTTTATTGATTATGTGTTAGTTCTATTCCCCCTTTCATTCCCCTCCACCCTACCCCCCATCCCCACCATTACCCCCCCTTTAGTTTATGACCATGTGTCTCAAGTCCTTTAGATTCTATATTTCCCATGCTATTCTTGCCCCCCCTTCTATTTTCTATCTACCGTCTATGCTACTTATTTTCTGTACCTTCTCC